GGTTTCAGAGCATTCTAGAATGCTCCGGAGTGACATGTCCCGATCCTGAGTTTCGGTCGGGCATGTCCTCCTACAAGCGGATTTTGGAAGAAGAAATAAACTTATCCCGGCAAAGCAACCTAACAGCGATGTGTAGGAGCATATCTGCAAGCATTCCCCTTAAGATTCAGATGAGAATCCGGTTGTAGAATTCTGCTGTTCTCGCATTCGCAGTCGCATTCGCGATGACAGTCCCAGTGGCAACAGCAGTCGCAGTCACAGCCTCAGCCTCAGCCTGCCTCAGCATCAGCCTGCCTGAGCCTCAGCCTCAGCCTGCCTCAGCCTCAGCCTGCTTCAGCCTCAGCCTCAGCCTCGGCCTCAGCCTCAGCCTGCCTCAGCCTCAGCCTGCATCAGCCTCAGCCTCAGCCTCAGCCTGCCTCAGCATCAGCCTGCCTGAGCCTCAGCCTCAGCATCAGCCTGCCTCAGCCTCAGCCTCAGCCTGCCTCAGCCTCAGCCTCAGCCTGCTTCAGCCTCAGCCTCAGTCTGCCTTCAGCCTCGGCCTCAGCCTCAGGCTGCCTCAGCCTCAGCCTGCATCAGCCTCAGCCTCAGCCTCAGCCTGCCTCAGCATCAGCCTGCCTCAGCCTCAGCCTCAGCCTGCCTCAGCCTCAGCCTCAGCCTCAGCCTGCTTCAGCCTCAGCCTCAGTCTGCCTTCAGCCTCGGCCTCAGCCTCAGCCTGCCTCAGCCTCAGCCTGCATCAGCCTCAGCCTCAGCCTCAGCCTGCCTCAGCCATCAGCCTCAGCCTCAGCCTCAGCCTCAGCCTCAGCCTGCTCAGCCTCAGCCTGCTTCAGCCTCAGCCTCAGTCTGCCTTCAGCCTCGCCTCAGCCTCAGCCTCAGCCTCAGCCTCAGCCTCAGCCTCAGCCTCAGCCTCAGCCTCAGCCTGCAGCCTCAGCTCAGCCTGCCTCAGCCTCATCAGCCTGCCTCAGCCTCAGCCTCAGCCTGCCTCAGCCTCAGCCTCAGCCTGCCCAGCCTCAGCCTCAGTCATCAGCCTCAGGCCTCAGCCTCAGCCTGCCTCAGCATCAGCCTGCCTCAGCCTCAGCCTCAGCCTGCCTCTGCCTCAGCCTCAGCCTGCTTCAGCTCAGCCTCAATCTGCCTTCAGCCGCGGCCTCAGCCTGCCTCAGCCTCAGCCTGCATCAGCCTCAGCCTCAGCCTCAGCCTGCCTCAGCATCAGCCTGCTCAGCCTCAGTCTCAGCCTGCCTCAGCCTCAGCCTCAGTCAGCCTCAGCCTCAGTCTGCCTTCAGCCTCGCCTCAGCCTCAGCCTGCCTCAGCCTCAGCCTCATCAGCCTCAGCCTAAGCCTCCTCAGCCTCAGCCTAAGGCTCATCAGCCTCAAGCCTCAGCCTGCCTAAGCATCATCGGCCTTCAGCTCAGCCTGCTGCCTCAGCCTCAGCCTCAGCCTGCCGCAGCATCAGCCTGCCTCAGCCTCAGCCCAGCCTCAGCCTCAGTCTGCTTCAGCCTCAGCCTCAGTCTGCCTTCAGCCTCGGCCTCAGCCTCAGCCTGCCTCAGCCTCAGCCTGCATCAGCCTCAGCCTCAGCCTGCCTCAGCATTCAAAATGTGGCCCGGGAGTGGAGTTCTGGGAACGCGAAGAACACGAAGAGGCCTACAATTGGCTCCGGGCATTCAAAATCATGCCCAGGAATGGAGTTCTGGGAACTCGAAGACCACGAAGTGGCCTACAGTTGGCTCCGGGCATTCGAAATCATGCCCAGGAATGGAATTCTGGGAACTCGAAGACCACGAAGTGGCCTACAGTTGGCTCCGGGCATTCAAAATCATGCCCAGGAATGGAGTTCTGGGACCTCGAAGACCACGAAGTGTGTAAATGTTTGTTGCTTAAAACGACTTCCGCGGGTTCTCCCCGGCACCCGCCCAGACCCCCCTGGGGAGGCAAGATGCTCTCTTTTGACACTACTAGAAACCTATCAGTCTTCGCCGTTAGGTAAATAATCAAACATACACCAACATAACCAAACATACTCGAAACATCGTCCCCAGGCTATTGCTTGATTGTTGTTAAATTTTCTTCCTGTCGAGGGACATGCCCGACTCACTCCTAGGCCTGACTGGAACGGGGAGGTGGACGGGCGATATATATATATATGTGTGTGTATATATATATATATACAAGTGGCACGTGTGTGCCCAGGCTCATACAACAAGCTGAAGGGGCGTTTGAAGCAGGAGTGACATGCAACAGCGAAGTCGCACTCGAGCGCAAGTGGGGTTGCCACACCTTGCGATGTGTGTACCAGGGCCCCCCAGGAAGCCTCAGGAGGCCCGACTTGGATACCAGGAGAGGCTCCAGGAGGCCCCAGGATTGTGAGTGTTGTGTGTGTGTGTGATGTGTGCTTTGTGTGGTGCGTGCTTTTTGTGTGTTGTCGTGTGTGTGTGTGTGTATGTTATGTTTGTCTAGCGTGTGATGTGTTGGGCGTGATTTGTGTCTCTGTGTGTGCATGTAGTTCTGAAGCCCCAAGGCCCCAGGCCCAGGAGGCCCCAGGCGGCCTCAGCAGGCCCAGGAGAACTCCAGGAGGCTCCGAGGCGGGGTCTGGGGTACCAGAAGGTCCAGAAAGCCCCAGGAGGCCCCAGGAGGTTCCAGGAGGCCCCCAGGAGGCTCCGAGGAGGGGTCTGGGGCTCGATTTTGGGAGGATTGTTCATGCGAAACCGCCATTCTCTGAGAATCGGGGTCAAAATTATTGAAATTACCATGTGTTTTTGAAGGTTTTATGTTAACATGTTGAAATTCCCATGTGTTTTTGGACCCTGACGTCACGATCTGCGTGAGGGGTGCCACCGATGTTCAGAATTTCGAGGATGTCCCGAGCGAAACGGCCAGAAAAATCGCGGACGACGTGCGCATTAATCGCCTCTGAGCTCTACTCCCTCGGAGAGGTGCGTATGAGAATATATATATATATATATATATATATATAATATATAATATATTTATTTATATATACACGTTGAAAACCAACAACCGATTGGTCAGCTCATCTACCAACCGGCATGTCGGGTAACTGATTCCGCTGCAATGCGAAACATGCCCTTTCTTCATGTGGCCAATTCCGGACACCCTGAACCCAAAAACGCTTTCATCTCTCAGGGACGCATTTTTTTACTTCCCCCACCTTCCGCCCCGCCCTTCCGCCGCTTTCCGCCGGCGGAGGCGGCCTCGTCTTACTTCCGCCGACCTTCCACCGCCCTTCCGCCACCTTCCGCGGCGGAAGCGACGACAACTCCTTCGATCCTCGAAGGCACAGCCATTTCTGGCACGTCTCCTGCGACGAGGGGCTGCGGCAGCCTGGCAAGCTCCTCCTGCTGCGCGCTTCGTGGCGCGAGAGAAAAGGGGGGGCCCCGAGGGAAGCGTGGTCGTGAGGCCCCGGGGGGCATTTCCCGGCAACGTGCTCTGTTCGCCCTGGGCCGCCTTGTGGCGGCAGTGGGCCCGGGCAGGGTCCGACAACTGAGGCGGCAGGCCCGCCTCGTGGCGGCAGTGGGCCCGGGCAGGCCCGCCTTGAGGCGGCAATGGGAGGCCGACCACTGAAAACAAAAGCACCGGCTGCCCCTGGCACCTGAGCACCCCCCGGCCCCACGGTCGGGAGGGGAGGAGGGCGAGGAGGCCGAGCGGGGGAGAAGCCCCGCCGAGCTCGCAGAGGCGGCGCGAGGGGGGGCCCACGGGCCCCGGGAGCCAAGGAACACCGGGAGAGATCCCCTGCCTCTGCCGCCCTGCCCCCTGCCGCCCTGCCCCCCTCACCCTCCTCTGCCACTGCCCCCGTCCTGCCCTCCTCTCCCTCGCTGCCAGGAGGAGGAGGAGGAGGAGGAGGAGGAGGAGGAGGAGGAGGAGGAGGAGGAGGAGGAGGAGGAGGGGAGGGGGAGGGGAAGGGGGAGGACCCCTTCCCTAAGTTATCTAAGTTATATCGCCTCCTGAGGGTGAGCGCGGGCGCGACGATAACGTTCACAGCGACGTGTGCGGCGACTCTTCTTCACGGGTGCAGCCCAAGTCATACCGCCACCGCTCCCCCTCCCCCCCCCTCCACCCGAGAATAAGCAACGCGTGACTACCTTCATCTTAGGCAGGGCGCAGGGCGGCGAGGCATTGGAGGCCATCGCTGTCTCTGGCACTGCCCCCCAAACCCCTTCGTGCCCCTGCTGGGAGAAACAGGACCAGCGGAAGGAGCAAGAGAGAGAGAGAGAGAGAGAGAGTGAATGAATGGCTCCCAAATGGGGTCGAGGTAGATTGTGCCGGATGATCGCGCAACATCGCCGATGCATCTGCGACGCCGGCGAGCCTCGGCGCCGTCGGCGTGGAGCAAATCGGGCTCCACATCGAGCCGCATCACCGATGCATCGGCGATGTGGCGCGATCCTCCGAACCAGTCTACTCGGACCCCATCTGTGCAATGGTCCCGCTTAGAACCACTGCCCTGAACGTAATCCTTGCTGATGCTACTCTCTTCTCTTCCCTGACACGTGCCGAGGGTACTGTTAGCGTTCTGGTCGAATCTGAGGGCAGTGCTGGTGCGATGCTGGTCGCACTGTGGTGATGAACAGGATCTGTTTGTCAGCGGGCAGTTCGCTGTCCTGCGTCTCTCGGACGCACACCAGAAGTCCAGCGTCGCTGAGACGCTGCAAAGGCTTGAGCCAGAACGGTTTCGGATGAACCTGTTCTGGGATATTATAATGGGGATATCGAGGGATCTCGGAGGGCCTACTAAGCAAGGCTAGCTGCAGTCTGGAGGCTAAAGGGGGCCCGATTCGCCGGGAAACGCTTGGCTAACATACATGGGGCTCCTTTGGAGCCTGAAGCATATATCAACGCTTGGCTAACATACATGGGGCTCCTTTGGAGCCTGAAGCATATATCACGCACGGCCTCTAGAGGCCATCTGTCGTAAGTAGGCTCTAGTGAGGCAGGCTCGGGGCTGTGAATTGCATGCCCAAAAGCTAAAGATCGATGTTACGGCATCGAGACCTGCCTCTGGCCACTGAATTCACAGAAAGCACAGAGCGCGTGAGAGGCTTCATAGTGCCCCAAAGAGCTATATCTCCGGCAGGGGTCTCCTGCTCGTAGGGATTGTCGCGAGCGAAGTAGATCAGGGCCTCCAGCATAGCTTCATCGTCGTCTGCAGATAACGGCTTGCCGTGGTCCAGCCTGTCCATGCCCTCGGTCTTGCGCTTCCTGGCACTGCGGTGCAGTGGGTCGTCCACGAGTCTCCAGCGCTGACCTGACCGAAAGAACTCCAGCAAGACCTTGGCGGCTCGATCCTTGGTGAGGCCGTCGGCTAGCATGGCATCGCTGTGTACCCAGCGTATCTGGAGGGCCGTCTGCTCCTTCTGCTGTCGAATGCCTAGACACTCGATGCTCGTCCGCTTGTCACGTAGGCCAAGACCAGCTGACTCGCTCTTCTCGATCGCGTCGTAGCCCGACTTACCGTCTGTGACCAGTACGCCAGGGCAGGATGAGATGGCGTCGTTCACGTGTTGCTTGTTGGTGTAGTCCACTTGGCCGCACTCTAACTCTTAGATAAACAGGCGCACGTAGCTGATCTCGTCGAGGGTCTCTGTCATCATCTGAACCTCCGCACTCGTACTGCTTCTGGCCACCCTCGGTAGTTTGCATGATCTCCATGAGATAGGCGCTACCGTCTCTGTCGAGCCACTCAGGAAAGACAGTGGTACCAGCACGATCATCTCGCCACCCTGGGACTCGCCAGTAATACGAGCGGCCCAGGCAGCATCGCCCCAGCCAACCACAGCTATCTGCTCGATGGCCGGGATGAGCATGACTACGTCAGCAGTGTCATTCATGGTGCGGATCAGCTTGTTGATCTTCTGGATGGTAGAGACCGTCGCCGTAGGTATCTCCGCTTGGAGTAGAGAGACTTCTGCACTGAGCCACGGGGCCGACTGCTGAGCTCGCCATCCGACTGTACCAAGTCGGCCTCGTAGATCTGATCTCTCTTTGTCTGAAACTCCTTCCGTGGGCTTGCGTCCACGTCGTATCTTGATGGGCTCCACGTTCAGGCTGTAGCTGTCCTGTGCGAGACTGCAGGTGTAGTCCTCATTCTGTCGAATACTGATGCCGCACTGCACAAACGCTCGGCTCTCCCAAGGTGTCCACTCGAAGGCCTGTTGTATCTGCTGTCGTTTCTTGAGGAATGCCGAGTTGTGATGGTCGCCGGCGATCATCATGTCATCGACGTGTAGGATAACCATGCCAACCAGCTTCGTGCCGTCTCGAACGACCCAGACGCACGGCTCGCACTGTATCACTTCCAGCTGCAGCGTCTTGAGCGTGTCCTTGAAATGGAGCCACCATTTGCGAGGAGCATGTACAAATCCGTACATAGGCTTGAGGAACTGCAGGACCTCGTCGTCTTTCATGCCGAAGGCCTGACGCACGTCCTTGGGCGGGTCCGCGTAGATCTTCCTCTTCTCCTCGTCCGTCTCGCCCTGGAGAAAGGCTGTCACTGCATCGGCCTTCTCCAGTTTCCACTTGTGTCTGGCTGCCATGGCCAGTAGAAGTTGACGTGCACGTCTGGAGGCAACGGGTGATTCTGTCCGTAGGTGCAGCAGGTCGGGGTCGCTGAAACCGAGCACGACCAGTCTGGCTTTGCCTCGTAGTACGTTCCCCTGGTCATCCTTCTTCCAGGTCAGCACGAAGCGACAGTGCAGCAGGCGCGCCGGGTCGATCCCCTGTCGGCTGAGGATCCTGACGGCCTTCGTGCTGAGGACTGAGGTGCACTCCTTCTGCTGGGCCTCGAGTAGCAGCTTCTTCTCCTCAGGCGTCGCCTTCTTAAATGAGACCTCCACTCGGCCCTTGCGGGCCTGCGATGCCACGAAGTTGCTGGGATCGTCCATGTAGGCCATGAATGCATGCTCGTTGCTGACAGGGATATCCAGCACGATAAGTTCGTCGTTCTCCGTCATATCGTCGTACTGCTGGACACTGTAGGCATAGTCGCTGTAGAAGTTGCCCTCCTGCAGGTAGTAGGAAAAGGCCACCTGGGTCGCAGCGTTGACCCGCTGCTTCTTAGCCGGGGGCTCGGTTGTGCCGGGCTCTCGGATCCGGCGCTTATCGTTCACGTCGGGCGCTGAGATATCGTCGAGGTCATCGTCAGTCTCCGCCACGATGGGCCGCTGCGACGCGCGCTCCTCCTGGTCGTCGCCGGGAGGGGCTTCCATGACGATCTCCTCCTCGATGGGCTGCTCAGCTGCCTCGGGTAGTCCAGCTTCGTGGCCGCCTTCCTGTGGAAGGCCTGGGGGAGCTTCTGGCTGAGCTGGCTGGATGAGAGGTTCCTGGACCTCGGTTGCCTCGTTCCAGGGATTACCCTTCTTCCTCATACGTCTGGGAGGTCGCGGTCCAGGTAGAGGTCGCTCTTCCAGTCCTGGTGGCGCCGCCAAGGCTCCACCACCTCCGCCGCCTCCGCCGCCTCCTGGGTCAAGACTACGAGGATCTCCTTGTGGTACAGGACGATCATCGTCTTCAGAAATGGCCCAGGGTCCGCTTGCGTTGCTCTCGAAGGTGCGGGCGCTGACCGATTCACCGTCATCAGCGGCCAAATCCTCGCCAGTGGGCGGGGGCTCGTTCGATAAGTCGATCACTTCATTGGTGTCGAGCTGCTTCTGGACATCGCCGAAGGTCCAGGTCCCCGGCTGCTCGCGGCGCGAGCGTAGGGAGTCCATCGCCTCCTCAGAAGGCGTGGCAGGTCGAAGTTGTTCTGGAGCAACTCGGTAGAGGCGGCCAGCCAGTGTGATATTAACCACCGTCCCAGGTAGACCAGGTCGGTGTCCCGAGCTCGCTGGCTCGTGACAAAGTACTCGTCCAGGTCCGTACCAGCGTCCTCGCCCAGGCAGTGAGCGAGGCTGTCCCTTCTTGCGCCAGGCCCCTGGTGGGAGCCGTCGGTAGACGAAAACCAGATCGCCCGTCTCGTACTTCTTGAAGGACCTGAAGCGCGCGGCCTCCGCTCGCTTGACTCGGTCGGAGTTCTCGGTCTGGATGTGAGCCAGCCGCGCCATTCGTCGTACCTGGGCGTCCCTGCTGAAGGTACCGTCCTGCAGCTCGGCACTGATGAGCGGCAGGTTGTTCGGCTCGTCCGACAGATTGACTGTCGTCCCAGTCGGCGCCCGTCCCGCATAGCGCTGCAGCGGGCTGAACCCGTCGATCCTGATCAGGTCGTTCCTGGCCGCCGTCTGGAGTCCGAACATCTCGCTGGTGGGTACTTCGGCTGAGACCATCTCGTCGAAAGCGTCGAGGGCCTCCTTGAAGGCTTCAATGGCACGCTCGATCTTGCCGATCTGCCGGTGGGCATCGGCCGCGCATGGGAGACAGTAGACTCCCTGGCTCTCGATCCACTCGCGGAACTCGTCGGAGATGGCGCTGCCGGCAGGGTCGTAGCGCATGACCTTCGGGCGTCCCATCCAGGGGAACCATTTTGTAGCAAAGATATGCCGAAGGTCGCCTGCACGAACTTGCCGGGTAGTACCCGGGATCGGCTTCTCGTCGATCAGCCGCACGTAGAGGATGTCCGAGCCGGCGTCGAGTATCGCCAGCGCCATCACGTTCGTGTTCGTGCTGCGGCGGATCCACGAGAAAGCGTCAAAAAGCACCTCGTGACCGTTTTGGGGCTGCTCTGCTGATGAGGCTGGTGGCCGCTTAGTAGGTGGTCGATGTGCGTCACATATGTCGCACTTGAAGGTTCTGGCCAAACGTAGCACCTCTGGCCGGGCGCCACGGTCGCGAAGGTATCGTAGTAGATGAGCTCGAGGTAGGTGTCCGAGGTTGGTATGAACCAATCTGATGTAGCTCTCGAGCTTCTTGACCGTCTCGTTGGTGAGGTTGTGCGCTTTCTTGCCGTCTCGTGGTGGAAGAGTCGGCTCGTCCTCCTCTGGCGTAGGCTCTGTCGGGGGCTGCTGGGTAGCTGCCATGCAGAGGCAGTTCACAACCTCGTCCTCGAAGTAGTTCTGGTTCTGGCTCTTGGTCAGAGCCCTGAGGATCCGGCGGCACAGCATCTTGGGGTAGGAGCCCGAGGCCTCGGTCCTCAAGCTGCTCTCTATCTCCTCGTGGTAGTGTCCTCCACGGCACTGTAGAGGTTGTAGGGCTACCCAGATCCTCCTGTCATTCGTCAAGAACTTCCAGCGCGTCTTCATGAGCTCGCCCGTGTCAGGGGCTCGTAGTCCGCAGGCGCAGCCATCCACGATCACCTCGTACGGTAGGATCTTGTGGAGATCCTTCCAGCAGGTCTTCTGCCACGAACGACTGTTGTGGGGCTGCTCGGCGAGGGCCGAGCCGTTCAGATTGAGCACCTGGTGCTCGATGAGCCTCTTGTTGTTCTCGAAGATCCGCTGGCTCTTGAGCCGCTTCCTGCGAAGGTTCTCCTTCTGTTGATCGTTGCGCTGGTTGACGTTCTGCATTATCGACCATGGACCGCAGGGTGGTGTACTGACGAAGAGCTCCGGGCGCTTCTCGTCTAGCAGGAACTTCGCCTTGTGGTAGCCCTGCGGCTTGCTGAGGTCGTTCTCGTTGAAGAGTCCGAGCCGCTCGTAGTGGTAGCCCTTCTCATCGCACACCTTCCCGAGATTCGAGTCCTCGTGGGTGCACGCTTCGACCATCGTCAGGCGGCCGAAGGTTGCGAGGGCGCACATGGCTCCGAAAATGGCCGACCTCGTCGTATGTGTAGCTGCCCGTATCGCCTGGCGCTGGTGGCCCTTCAGCGGCCTGCTCTCGTCGCCGCGCCACCGAGACCTCTCAGCCTGAATCACACTCAGGCCTTCGTCCTGACCGCACACGCCTGGTGGCGCCAACCGTAGAGCCTCATCTTCACGATCGGCTCGTTCTTGGCGATGCATCGGCGTAGCTTGCAGTCCGGGTGCTGGCACATCTGAGTATAGTGAGCTGAGATCGCCGGGCCCACGGGCATTGCCGTCGTCTCCATCTTCTTGGTCTCCATCTCCTTCTTGATCTGGATGGTCGCTGCCGCCGTGCCGCGCTGCTCGATGATGTACGCGATGATCTTGTCGATCACCTCCTCCTTCTTGCCAGTCTGGGTCAGTCCCCACATCTTGCACAGCGGCTTGAGGTGGTTGACCAACGTGACCATGCTGAGCTGCTCGTGGATCTGCTCCGAGCTCAGCGCTGCAAACGCATCCACCTCCGCAAACTTGGTCAAGAAATCTAACTTTGCGGTCTCGATGGTGGCTCGCAGCTCTTGATTCTGCTCGCGCGCGGCTGCTGAGGTTGCGGACTTCTGGGACAGGGGGCGCTGCTTCGGCTCCGTGCACGGCTGGCGCGGCTCGATCTTCGCACGATGCTCGATGTCCGCCGGCCAGGTCGGGTACCTCTCGGGTAGCAACTGCACAGGTAGTCCGAGGCTGTCCAGCTTCCACGTCACACGATCGATCGTCTTGATGAAGACCTTCTGGATGATTCGTCCCCAGCGACGGCACTGCGTCCACTGCTGGAGGAGCTTGCTGGACCACATCTCCCAATTCGGTAGGTGCTCCTGCAGGAAGGTGTCCGTCATCCGCTTCGTGCTGTTGTCCTGCTCCGAGCCCTCGATCGTGTAGAAGATGTGGCCCCTCGCGTCCTGATGAGCGATCAGTCGCCCCTGCGGCTGCATCCGTTGTAGTGTAGGCCGTGCCGGCGTCGACGTGGAGGTCGCCGCCGATGATCCCGAGTCCCGTAGCGAGGCCCGAACATCCACCTGCTCCCAAGGGCCGTCCATCTCCTCGTTCTCCAGCTTGATCTGCTGGCTCTCTGCTTTGCGACATGTCGCCTCGCGGTTGAGACTCATGCGAATATGTAGGGCCAACTGGATGTTGTCGGATCTCAGGGCTCGAATATGGACGTATTACTGGTTGCTGAAATCGGAGCTCTGAGCTCGAATCGTTCGCACCAAAAATGGCTCTGGGAGACGGGGATGTTTCTGTTTGGAGCTCTGGAAACTCTGGGATCTCAGGGAAGGCCTCTGGAGATAACTCCGATAATGCTGTAGGTGATGGAGCCGGGGCTGATACGGATGATGTCCCGGACGTAAGTGATGATGTCCCCGACGTAATCAATGATGTCCCCGTACTTGTAAATGATGATGATGTTGCTGTAGGCGTAATTGGAGATGGTGCCCCCGTACTCGTAAATGATGATGATGTACATGAGGCCTGTAGGGCTCCATTATCTGGGACCTCGTCGGGGAACTCCTGGGGCACCACTGCAGACGGTTTATCGTTCTCGCTTTGGATCGGCTGCTCTTTTTCATGTTTTCCCTCCGGCACCGTAGCAGTCGAGGGCGTGGACCCCTACTCGAGAGATGCCACGAAGCCAAAATCGGCTTGTCGAACATGGGGCAGTGCAAGATGACCGCTCGGAAGGACGAGCAGTTCAGCTCGGCGCCCGAGCTTCTTGAAGTAGACAGAATGTGCCTCGCAGTCGATCACAGCTCCTAGGCGGCTCAAAACATCCACTCCGATCAAGAGCGGGGCATCTGCGTCGAGGATGTTTATCTCGAGCTCGCCGTCCACACCGGCGATCATCAGAGGAAAGGTTGCCTTGCCGGTGCAGGTCTTGGCGTTGCCGTCTCCAAAGATAAAGGTACTCTTCTGGCTAACGTCCATCTTGATGTTCTTGCCCGTCTGCTCATAGATGATATCGCGTAGGTTCTCGGCAGCCTCGATGCCCATGATGCTGGAGGTCGCGCCGATGTCCAGAATACCGAAGCCCTTGGAGGAGCTCTGCTTCACACTCATGAGGATCCAGTCGTCTAGCTTCTCCAGGGTTGGCCAGCTCGGTAGCTTCACATGATGGACTTGCTCCTGCCTCTCGATGGATTTCTCCACCTCTAGGTACTTCGTCTTCTCGAGCTGTTTCTTCGGAAGCTTCGGTCGATTCTTGATCACTGGCCTATTGTTGAGCGTCGTCTCCAGCTCCAGGCGCGAGGTCTCGTTCCTGATGAGATTCGCCTCCATCTCGGCGTCCTGCTCGGCGCCGAAGAACACGTAGGCTCCGAAACCTCGCTTGGGCCGTTCACGATCTTTGCTGCTGGTGGAGGAAGCGCGGTCTTTATGATCCTTCGTCTCGTGATTGCCGCCACACTTCAGACAGGGTCCCTTGCGGGGCGGCCGGCCCTGGGAGCGATCTCCATCACGTCGGGGTGGTGCATCACGTCGTTGTCCGCTCCCTCGGCCTCGTCCTTTCGATGATCCAGAGCCTCGGGATCCAGCTCGCGGTCCCTGGAACTTGCGCTGTCCTCCGCGTCCTTCTCGCTTCTTGTTCTCATCCACGGGGTAGAACTTCCTGGCGGTCTTCACTCGTCGGAGTAGATCCCGAGCTTCTTCGAAACTGCGCTGCTGGGCGGCGAACGCGGTCTCGGCCTCCTCGATCTCCTGGGCGCTGTAGAGCGGCTCCTCGGGATCTCCTTCGTCCTCGTCGCCGTCCGCGTCCTCATAGGTGGCCTCCGACTGGTCGCCATCGTAGTAGCTGTAGTCGTCGTCGTCCTCGCTGTTCTCCTCCCAGCCGGCGTGGATCCGACCTCGCTCGCGATGGCGATGGTTGTCCTTGCCGTGCTTCTTATCTCTGTTCGTCAGCTCGTCATCTGGCCAAGATACTCTTAGCTGCTCGCCGATGCTATCGTAGTCGAAGTTGCCTTTGACTGCGCTGATGACTGCCGCACGCTCCGTCGGGGAAAGTCTTGATCTCTGCAGCAGTAGCCATCCGCGCAGCTGGTCAAGGGGAATCGCCTGTTTGAAGTCTGTTCCGAAATCCGGATGCTCAGGGATCTCCTCCAGACCTGTCAGGATGAAGCTCCAGAGCTGGTGGTTCAACTCCTTGGCCTTGTCGGCGGCATCCTCCGGGCCCTCCTGCTCGATCTTGTACAGGAACCAGTTGAGCTCCGAGTAGAGGGCATTCCATTCTTTTGACCTTGCCGACAGCCGAGCCGTGCGCTGCTTCTTGAAATACTCGGTGTCGAAACCCTTGACAACGTCGTGGTAGGCCTCATCGTCTCTGCTGATGTAGCTCGGCATTGGCTCTCCCGTGTCTCGACGAAGATCGAAGATCCATCTGGCCAGATATACTCGGTCGCTCAAGGATGGCACGAACGACATAGCACAAATCGTGAAAGCGAGTTTGGCATATGAAAAATAATTTCCATGTTTTGGATCGAGAACGTTGTTTTCCGAGCCCGCCTTGTGCTATGTCGGGCGCGTTTCGCGCGGATCCTCTCGACCCCGCCGGCCGAGGGGATGGGGGGAGATAAAGAGAGGGAACAAAGAGAAAAGGGGGATGTATCGGAGAAACCTCGCCCCAAAAAGCGCCGCCCTGGCGGCGAGAGAGGGGGGCTCTCCTGAGTTGTGCTATGCGAGCCGCGTGCTATGCTACGCGTGCGGGGGGGAAGGGGAGGGGGGGAAGGGGGCGAGGGAGAGAGCGAGCCTCAGCCTGCCTCAGCCTCAGCCTCAGCCTGCTTCAGCCTCAGCCTCAGTCTGCCTTCAGCCTCGGCCTCAGCCTCAGCCTGCCTCAGCCTCAGCCTGCCTCAGCCTCAGCCTCAGCCTGCCTCAGCCTCAGCCTCGGCCTGCCTCAGCCTCGCGCGCATTTCGCGCGGATCCCCTCGACCCCGACGGCCGAGGGGATGGGGGGAGATAAAGAGAGGGAACAAAGAGAAAAGGGGGATGTATCGGAGAAACCTCGCCCCAAAAAGCGCCGCCCTGGCGGCGAGCCGCGCGCTATGCTACGCGCGCGGGGGGGAGGGGGGGAGGGGGCGAGGGAGAGAGCGAGCCTCAGCCTGCCTCAGCCTCAGCCTCAGCCTGCTTCAGCCTCAGCCTCAGTCTGCCTTCAGCCTCGGCCTCAGCCTCAGCCTGCCTCAGCCTCAGCCTGCCTCAGCCTCAGCCTGCCTCAGCCTCAGCCTCGGCCTGCCTCAGCCTCGCGCGCATTTCGCGCGGTCCTCTCGACCCCGCCGGCCGAGGGGATGGGGGGAGATAAAGAGAGGGAACAAAGAGAGAAGGGGGATGTATCGGAGAAACCTCGCCCCAAAAAGCGCCGCCCTGGCGGCGAGAGAGGGGGGCTCTCCTGAGTTGTGCTATGCGAGCCGCGTGCGGAGAGAGCGAGCCTCAGCCTCAGCCTCAGCCTCAGCCTGCTTCAGCCTCAGCCTCAGTCTGCCTTCAGCCTCGGCCTCAGCCTCAGCCTGCCTCAGCCTCAGCCTGCCTCAGCCTCAGCCTCAGCCTGCCTCAACCTCAGCCTCGGCCTGCCTCAGCCTCGCGCGCATTTCGCGCGGATCCTCTCGACCCCGCCAGCCGAGGGGATGGGGGAGATAAAGAGAGGGAACAAAGAGAGAAGGGGGATGTATCGGAGAAACCTCGCCCCAAAAAGCGCCGCCCTGGCGGCGAGAGAGGGGGGCTCTCCTGAGTTGTGCTATGCGAGCCGCGTGCCATGCTACGCGCGCGGGGGGGAGGGGGGAGGGGGCGAGGGAGAGAGCGCCTCAGCCTCAGCCTCAGCCTGCTTCAGCCTCAGCCTCAGTTGCCTTCAGCCTCGGCCTCAGCCTCAGCCTGCCTCAGCCTCAGCCTCAGCCTCAGCCTCAGCCTGCCTCAGCCTCAGCCTCGGCCCTGCCTCAGCCTCGCGCGCATTTCGCGCGGATCCTCTCGACCCCGCCGGCCGAGGGGATGGGGGGAGATAAAGAGAGGGAACAAAGAGAAAAGGGGGATGTATCGGAGAAACCTCGCCCCAAAAAGCGCCGCCCTGGCGGCGAGAGAGGGGGGCTCTCCTGAGTTGTGGCTGAGCGGCCGCGGTGCCATGCTAGCGCGCGCGGGGGGGGAGGGGGGAGGGGGGGAGGGGGCGAGGGAGAGAACGAGCCTCAGCCTGCCTCAGCCTCAGCCTCAGCCTGCTTCAGCCTCAGCCTCAGTCTGCTTTCAGCCTCGGCCTCGGCCTCAGCCTGCCTCAGCCTCAGCCTGCCTCAGCCTCAGCCTGCCTCAGCCTCAGCCTCGGCCTGCCTCGGCCTCGCGCGCATTTCGCGCGGATCCTCTCGACCCCGCCGGCCGAGGGGATGGGGGGGGATAAAGAGAGGGAACAAAGAGAGAAGGGGGATGTATCGGAGAAACCTCGCCCCAAAAAGCGCCGCCCTGGCGGAGAAAGAGGGGGCCTCTGCTGAGTTGTGCTATGCGAGCCGCGCGCCATGCTACGCGCGCGGGGGGGAGGGGGGAGGGGGGGGAGGCGGCGAGGGAGAGAGCGAGCCTCAGCCTGCCTCAGCCTCAGCCTCAGCCTGCTTCAGCCTCAGCCTCAGTCTGCCTTCAGCCTCGGCCTCAGCCTCAGCCTGCCTCAGCCTCAGCCTGCCATCAGCCTCAGCCTCAGCCTCAGCCTGCCTCAGCATCAGCCTCGGCCGTGCTCAGTCCTCGCGCGCGTTTTTTTCGCGCGATCCTCTCGACCCCGCCGGCCGAGGGGATGGGGGGAGATCAAGAGAGGGAACAAAGAGAGAAGGGGGATGTATCGGAGAAACCTCGCCCCAAAAAGCGCCGCCCTGGCGGCGAGAGAGGGGGGCTCTCCTGAGTTGTGCCATGCGAGCCGCGCGCCATGCTACGCGCGCGGGGGGGAGGGGGGAGGGGGGGGAGGGGGCGAGGGAGAGAACGAGCCTCAGCCTGCCTCAGCCTCAGCCTCAGCCTGCTTCAGCCTCAGCCTCAGTCTGCCTTCAGCCTCGGCCTCAGCCTCAGGCTGCCTCAGCCTCAGCCTGCATGAGCCTCAGCCTCAGCCGCAGCCTGCCTCAGCATCAGCCTGCCTCAGCCATTTCGCGCGGATCCTTTCTCGACCCCGCCGGCCGAAGGGATGGGGGGAGATAAAGAGAGGGAACAAAGAGAGAAGGGGGATGTATCGGAGAAACCTCGCCCCAAAAAGCGCCGCCCTGGCGGCGAGAGAGGGGGGCTCTCCTGAGTTGTGCTATGCGAGCCACGTGCGGAGAGAGCGAGCCTCAGCCTGCCTCAGCCTCAGCCTCAGCCTGCTTCAGCCTCAGCCTCAGTCTGCCTTCAGCCTCGGCCTCTGCCTCAGCCTGCCTCAGCCTCAGCCTGCCTCAGCCTCAGCCTCAGCCTGCCTCAGCCTCAGCCTCGGCCTGCCTCAGCCTCGCTCGCATTTCGCGCGGATCCTCTCGACCCCGCCGGCCGAGGGGATGGGGGGAGATAAAGAGAGGGAACAAAGAGAGAAGGGGGATGTATCGGAGAAACCTCGCCCCAAAAAGCGCCGCCCTGGCGGCGAGAGAGGGGGGCTCTCCTGAGTCGTGCCATGCGAGCCGCGTGCGGAGAGAGGAGAGCGAGCCTCAGCCTGCCTGAGCCTCAGCCTCAGCCTGCTTCAGCCTCAGCCTCAGTCTGCCTTCAGCCTCGGCCTCAGCCTCAGCCTGCCTCAGCCTCAGCCTGCCTCAGCCTCAGCCTCAGCATGCCTCAGCCTCAGCCTCGGCCTGCCTCAGCCTCGCGCAAATTTCGCGCGGATCCTCTCGACCCCGCCGGCCGAGGGGATGGGGGGAGATAAAGAGAGGGAACAAAGAGAGAAGGGGGATGTATCGGAGAAACCTCGCCCCAAAAAGCGCCGCCCTGGCGGCGAGAGAGGGGGGGGCTCTCCTGAGTTGTGCTATGCGAGCCGCGCGCGGAGAGAGCGAGCCTCAGCCTGCCTGAGCCTCAGCCTCAGCCTGCTTCAGCCTCAGCCTCAGTCTGCCTTCAGCCTCGGCCTCAGCCTCAGCCTGCCTCAAAAAAAAAAAAAAAAAACCCCAGCCTGCCTCAGCCGTCAGCCTCAGCCTGCCTCAGCCTCAGCTCGGCATGCCTCAGCCTCGCGCGACGCGCGCATTTTCGCCGCGGCCCATCTCCGCACCGCCGGCCGAGGGGATGGGGAGAGATAAAGAGAGGGAACACAGAGAGAAGGGGGATGTATCGGAGAAGCCTCGCCCCAAAAAGCGCCGCCCTGGCAGCGAGAGAGGGGGGCTCTCCTGAGTTGTGCTATGCGAGCCGTGTGCGGAGAGCGCGAGCCTCAGCCTGCCTCAGCCCTCAGCCTCAGCCTGCTTCAGCCTAGCCTCCAGTCTGCCTTCAGCCTCGGCCTCAGCCTCAGCTGGCCTCAGCCTCAGCCTGCCTCAGCCTCAAGCCTCAGCCTGCCCAGCCTCAGCCTCGGCTGCCTCAGCCTCGCGCAAATTCGCGCGGATCCTCTCGGACCCCGCCGGCCGAGGGGATGGGGGGAGATAAAGAGAGGGAACAAAGAGAGAAGGGGGATGCATCGGAGAAACCTCGCCCCCAAAAAGCGCCGCCCTGGCGGCGAGAGAGGGGGGCTCCCCTGAGTTGTGCTATGCGAGCCGCGTGCGGAGAGAGCGAGCTCAGCCGGCCTGAGCCTCAGCCTCAGCCTGCTTCAGCCTAGCCTCAGTCTTGCCTCAGCCTCGGCCTCAGCCTCAGCCTGCCTCAGCCTGCCTCAGCCCAGCGCCTCAGCCTCAGCCTCAGCCTGCCTCAGCCTCAGCCTCGCCTGGCCTCAGCCTCGCCGCGCATTTCGCGCGGATCCTCTCGACCCCGCCGGCCGAGGGGACCGGGGGAGATAAAGAGAGGGAACAAGGAGAGAAGGGGGATGTATCGGAGAAACCTCGCCCCAAAAAGCGCCGCCCTGGCGGCGAGAGAGGGGGGCTCTCCTGAGTTGTGCTATGCGAGCCGCGCGCGGAAGAGAAGCGAGCCTTCTGGGCGCCTGAGCCTCAGCCGCCTGCTTCAGCCTCAGCCTCAGTCTGCCTTCAGCCTCGGCCTCAGCCCCAGCCTGCCTCAGCCTCAGCCTGCCTCAGCCTCAGCCTCAGCCTGCCTCGGCCTCAGCCTCGGCCTGCCTCAGCCTCGCGCGCATTTCGCGCGGATCCTCTCGACCCCGCCGGCCGAGGGGATGGGGGGAGATAAAGAGAAGGAACAAAGAGAGAAGGGGGCTGTATCGGAGAAACCTCGCCCCAAAAAGCGCCGCCCTGGCGGCGAGAGAGGGGGGCTCTCCTGAGTTGTGCTATGCGAGACGCGTGCGGAGAGAGCGAGCCTCGCCTGCCTGAGCCTCAGCCTCAGCCTGCTTCAGCCTCAAGCATCAGTCGCAGTTGACTTCAGCCTCGGCCTCAGCCTCAGCCGCCTCAGCCTCC